TTTAAATATATAAATTATATTTAAAATTTATATAAATAAATGTTTCAAACATATAAATTATATTTTGAATTCATAATAAAAAAATTATTTTGTGATATAAAATAATTTAAGCAGTTGATAAATTTTTTTAAAATATATACTAAAATTTTTTATTTAGAAATAAAAATTAAATTAAAAATAATAAATAAAAAAGAAATAAACGATTAAGGAAATTTTCTAAAAATATTGTTGTTATAAGAAAAAAATTCTTAAAAAAAACTATCACTCCTTCAAAATATATTCTTTAATATATATAGAGATTTTAAAAAATAAAATAAATTCAATTATGAACTTAAAATGTTAATACGATGATCAATTTAACCGGTTTTATTATAATCTAGAGATTTGTGTAACATCTTTGTCTTTTAAAAAGTTTATGTGAGTTGGTCTCAAAAATTTATCAGAACTTTTATGTAACAATATAACCTATTCATAATAATGTAACCTATTCATAATAATGTCAAATTTTTTTTAATCATTTGTTGATCTTATGGTAGAGTGTTTAAGTAGTTTGTACGTGTTTTTCTTTTTGGATGTTGTATTCATTTTTAAGTTTAAATTTCATTTTCGTTGTTATAAAAAAAAAATCTTATTATCCAGTATATTCATTTTTATTGCTGCATATATTAGTGCAATAGTTGCCACACGAGATGACTTATATTATATATCACTGTTTTTTATTCTCCGAATTTCATAGGTATGCATTTCATGGAAGTCTTATTCTCGAGGGCCAAGTAGATTTTATCTAGCTTATCGTATATGATATTTAATCAATAAGAAAAATATAACATCATTTGTTGCATGGTTCTTGAGGATTTACACGTCCTATATATGGTTCTTCAGTTAAATTTCCCAATTATAAATAGGGAAAATTAGGATAGTCTTTTGAATTATAGCAAAATTGCATTTGCGTTGATACGTCTGATTAATTATAATCATGGTTTACGATATGATTCCAAACACTCGCTGCGCGAATTGATTTACAAGTGCTGCGTAATCTTTACCTGTTGAATCAAACTCTTGGTCGCATTAATATTTACATTTGTATTTTATACAATGATTATTATTATTTTTGGTGATTTATTTCTTTCTTGAGCTCTAAAATTAACATTCCAAACGTTAATTTTTTTGTTAAAAGAAGATACGTTATAACGTTAACTGCATCATTAGAATCACGTTGACTGGAAGAGTAATTAACACACATTCAATGTAAGCCACACATTGTAGTTTTCAGTTTTCAAACCATCATGTATGGGTTTGGATCATAATTCTAATTAAACACATTCTTGCAAAGTTTTTTTTAAGAGATTTACTTTTTATCGTTCGAAGATAAATTTTTTAATCGATTTCTGGTTACATAGTTCAGACATAAAATTACAATCTTTAATTTTAAGCTTATAGTACATGTCCTTAAAATCATCAACAATCTAACTATTGATTACTAGCAACATCTTGACCATATATTATATTTTCATATATTGAAATCGAACTTAATATCAGAAAATTTATATTAAGTCGTGCAATTTGTTCAATCAATTGAAACATACTCAATACATAAGTTATTTATATAGGGCTAGGTCGTTTGTAATATTAGACATCTAAATGCTTTATATGCTCATAAAAGACAGGATTATATTCTCAATAATGTGGAGCACGGTTTTATTGTCATAATAAAAAATGCAGGCACAAGTTACCCTTTTAACAAATAAATATTGTGAATTTAATTAAAAAAATATTATCACTTTCATTTCACCTCAATTCATTCTTAAATAATTTTCATTCTACAGGTGTCTTATTATATTAAGGTGGAGCTAGATTACTAACTTAAAAGAGATTTTAACTATTTATTTTAAACATCAATTATTCATTAGTTTTTTTTATAAATCACTTTTTTTTTCTAAACATTAAAACAGTTAGCAAGTCTTTATTTGATTTTTAAATTTTGAATTTTTATTATATTTTAATATTTGAAAATGTGAATTATAACCAAAAAAACTAATGAATGGCTGGAATTTAAGGTAAAACAAGTTTGTTAGGATTTCTACCCCTTCCATAGTTTAATTACCTCAAACTTAATAGAATGAACTATTTATAAAAAAAAAAAGTTTAAAGATGAATTTCAAAAAAAAAAAGTTTAAAGTGTCTATTTATAAAAGAGATAAAATTTAAAGTATAATCGAGAAGAAATTAAATTTCAAAGTGCCTATTTGTAAAATAAGCAAATTTAAGAATAAACTAAAATGAAACTAAAAGTCAAGATGATTATTTTGCAAATAGGTAAATCCAATGGATTGAGTAATCATTTCCTTAAATTAATTAAAGCATGTAGCTGATTTATCAAAAATTAAGAATATATTATTATTATTATTTTTTAAATAACAAATACTTCTAAACAAACTAAATTTCAAAAGAAACACAAACTTTTTCAAATGGAGTAGATAGTAATTATAGTTGGAGAGACCTCCTTTTTGTTAGAGACCACATATCTACTTGCCTATAAACTACTTACTTTTCATGTTTATGTAAACATCTGAAGATATTGTATTAATGGGATTTTTTTATCCCTAATATGACAATACCTTATTAATCCTATTATTACTTTGCACGTGAAAATATTTTTCCTCTATTTCACTAGAAAAGTGATGCATAGAAAAAGAATCCCAAGTATGTCCCCTTTTTATCTTTCAATTAAACTTAGACATGAGATTAAAAAGTAAAAGACACTAATAGTTAATTTTTCTGTTCATGTATCACTTTTTAATTCGAGGGCAAAAAATGGACACGTAACTTATTTCCCTTGACACTACTTCTACAATTATTTCGTTAACCTATAATGTTCCTAGGAATAGGATTAGGGATGCCAAAACTCGTTTCAACTCAAAATATGCGCCTTTTACCTTTAAAATCAATATTTTCCATGAAGAATGTTACAATGAATTCTTGTAAAATGTAATAGAAGAAAGTGGGAGTGGAACTTATTGATTATTTGTATTTGATTTATATTGCTACAAGGCAATAGAAAAATTAAATAAAATAAAACAGCCGAACAGTTTTTGGCAAAGGAAAATTTTGATGCGGTCCCAATAACGTGCATGGGAAATACAAAGTTGGATTGAGATATAACTTCTATCACATGTCATACTCACCAATTATCTCATCCTAAGAATAAAGTTCATAAGATGTCGTACCAAAAAATTATTTTTATAAAGATAACAAGATAATCGATTAAATAAAAGAATTTTAAGAGACAAAATAAATAAAATGTATAAATGACAAAGGAATGAAAAATAGTTTTATTCTCTTCTCATTGTGATAAAACGCCATTTTGTCTCAATTCAATAAAAAAAAATGAATGAGACTTTCATAATTCTAACATGATATGCTAATTATTAGAAAGTGTTCAATTTGATATATGTTGAATTATTTTTAAAAATATCTGTCTAAAGTATAGATAGTTTAGACAGACAACTTGTTAAAAGTTATATGCAAAAATTCTTTACTACTTTAATAATGACCTTCTAAATATGAAGGGGCATATGTACAAATCATTTTTGCAACTAACTATTAACTAGGAAAAAGTAAGAATGATGGTTCTACATGTATCCTTCGGTTTACAAAATTGATTTTGTTTAGTTTACTACGACACCATGCTAGTTGATCCGTCGTTATCCTTGACATGTTCAACACTCTCCAAACCAATTTCATATCCACTTGAGAGAAAAAATAAAGCACTTGATCCGTCGCATCTTCATTATGCTTTTGGAACTTCTTCAGTATGCAGCTTCCACTCCTCAAAACCTCTCTCAGCCTCTTTTCCTTCTGCCAAATTCAAACAACACCACACCTTTTTAAAGAATATAGTTGATTTACACTTGACACTAAAAAAGAGTAGATGATTGTTTTGGTCCCCGAATTCCAAAGACGATGTCATATTAATCCATGAAATTAAGAAAATGTCAAATGAATCTTTGAAAGTGATAATCTCATTAGCCCAAAATTCATTAAAAAAATATATGATTAAAGTGATAATATTGATATATATTTAAGAATCAATGAGAATAAGTAGTACAATATAGAGACTTATTTGACATTTTCTAAGCTTCAGAAATTAATGTGACATTCACTAGTTTTTGGAACCAAAATTACTCATTAGTCCATTAAAAAATGTGACATTAAAAGCTTTAATTAATAATTACCTTTTGAAGATCCGTTCGAATCTCTGCCAACAGCTCTGAATCAGAAGGGTCTTGGAGCTCTACATGATTTTCCCTTAGGCCTTTAAGTGCCAAGCTGGATGCATCTTTATCAGCTCTTATAAAACGCCAAATTGTTCTGATGGATTCTTCCAAAATATCCACTAGCATATCACTTGTGATGCCATCTTTATCTGCCTCTCTTTTTCTGAATTTCCTTTTATCCTTGGCGTTGTCTTCTGCATCCAAATAAGGTTTTATAGCCATGAGAAGCTTTTTTGTCTCATGTATGAAACTTTATATGGTCCCCAACGTATGAAAAAGTGGTCATGAAAAAAAAGCAACCACTAGACATGTTCCATTTTGAATAAAGACAAACAAACTCACATTGTACTAAAAGTTCTCACCTCTTATTACCGGAACTTGAAGAAGATTGCGCATTGCACAACGATTCCTGGCATAGTTTTCAACCCGTGGACCTTGGAAAGGTTCATTCTCTATGAACCTTTGGAGAAGCACTTGGAATTGTTGAAACTCCCCTGCTACTTCATTGAACCTTAGTAACCCGTATTGGTCAGATTCCCATAGTTTTAAGGCCTTATCGTATTCCCAATGAAGAAATTCCCAAGAAAGGCACAATTGCCCCACATAAACCATCTCTAAATCACTGTATAATTCTCTTACGAACTTCTTCGTTGGGTCAGCTTCGGTGTGTTTTCGTCTAGAAAGGCGAAAGCCGCGTGGAAGAATGTATGTGAATGCTGGTGAAGGATTCTTACGTGTTGAAAATGATTGGAGTGGGTCCTTTGACTGCAAATAACCTATAATTTCCAACAAAAAAATAAATAATATTTAAGTAATGGTGTTGTGACTATGATTAGAACCTTCACTAATAAGCATTATTACAGATATTGTGAATATATTACAGATATTGTGGATACATATATTATTGTTATTATCCTCACTATCAATTAGGGATATGATTAGATTAATTTCCATAATATAAGAGATTAGTATCTCTATCATTTATTGTATTCACTCTATAAATAAGATTGGTGTGCGTACAACAATACACACAATTCCTGAATCACAACTAGCATAATGCAAAGGGTCATGCAGATTATAAAATTATAAGTATAACATAACTTTCCTTATGAATACCTTTCCTAACTTGTCTTGCATAGCAAGAGTTGTTTACTTGTTTACAGAAGAATACGAAACAAAAGGTCACAGAAACATTGGGTGGAGCATTACAATCAGTGCAAGATCATTGTAGGGACTGGTTTCTTTTGGAAACTAGGCAGAAGTTAGCCACAATAAGAAAATGTCCTAATGTTGGGCAGAAAAACTAGAAGTGCACTATATTTTTTAGGTTTACGAAACCATTAGATATGATTATTTTGTAAAATGTAAAGGAGGAGGGTAGCTTTATGCGAATATAAAATTGTTAAATACTCATATGGCCCTCTTTTGGGGAAAGTGAAAACTACTAGGAGTCATGGCTGGTCGAAATTCTGCTATAGCATTAATACATGCAAAGTGCAGAGTGCAGACAAAAGCATGTGGCATAAAAAAATTGCTCAATTCCTTAACACCTACCCCCAATCCAACATTTCTTCCTTGTAATAACAAAATAAAGATAAATGAAGTGCAAAAATATGTGAAAACTATATTTAAGCGCGAGTATCCAGTACCATAAATAAAATCAACCAGAAAAAAGAGAACAAAAAAAACAAAAGGTTCAGTGAAATTATTCACTCAACTGCTATGTGTGTGGGTAATTCATGCTTTTCCAGTGCCCAACTAACCGGATTTAGTGGGTCCTTGCCTCTAATGTTAATGATTTAGATGAGGTAGGTCTTGATGATCATGTAAATTAAATGAAATTGCTCATCAACTAAGCACACACGCTTTGAACAATAAAGCAAATTAAGAAAAAGTAGCTGCAGAAAGCAAAAATAAAATTAAGGCAATGGATAGAAAAAATACTGACCTATGGCATACATCTTTTGGTAATTCAGGATATCGAATTTTCGCATCCTTTCTCGATAACTCCTGTAGAATTTTGGAAGCTCATTTGTGGTGCTACTACCATGCTGTAATTTTTCATCAATTTTCCAGGGCTTCAAGTCTTCCATTATCCTTGGAGACTCAGAATCCTCAAGGATGGTAGGTAGACCAGTGGCTCTGACCTTCTTCAGTTCCATCTTTAGCTGTTCTATCAAATCTTGATGTTCCCATAGTGTGTCAAACCGGTTGGAATCCTCAAGATCAAAAGTTGTTAAACTCTGTGAATTAGGCTTCACAGATTGTTCAAGTTTGGAATCGATGCTATTGCTATCTTCAAAACTGTTACCTGAAGACTTCTCTTGCCTACATTCTTCTTCCAGTTTTCCAAGCTCATCCCTTATATCTTCATCTTCTTCAGCAAAATCATCAGGCTCATATCCAACATCCAAATTCTCACCAACAAAGTCCAAATCTTCCGCATTGCTTCCCAATGTATCAAGCTCTATAGTGGTTCCGAAGTCCGTGTCTGACAAAAAACCCTCCCCCGAAGTGCTAATAGAATCAGAGTCAGAACTTGAACAAATAAAATCATCTTCAGAAAGAAAATTGCGAACAACTGGCCGCCCCACACGCTGGTCTATTGATTCCTCAGCTTTGAGATTCTTCTCTGTGAAATTTTCAAGATTTCCCGCACTCACCCTTCCTTCACAATTTTCTGGCATGAATTTCTTCCTTGACAAGAACCCAAAATCATTGCTAACATGGTTTTCCAATTGAATAGCATCATCTGAATGAACAAAACATTCTTTGACAGTGAAACTTTCAGCCTCAAGTTCATCCAAGAAGTGGCTGAAACTCTTCCCTGAGATAAACTCATACTTATTGGTGCTAGCAGACACAGCATCACCCCCCTTCGCAAAATCACTACTTTCACCGTACCCTCCATTGAACTCTTCATTATAATTGCAATTCCAATTTTGATATTCAAACTTGAAAACCAACTTTGTCGTTTCCTCTTCTTCAAGCCCAAAATCCCCGCCATCATCAAGAACGGTCTGAGAACAATATTTTTCCACGGACTCTGCTTCTTGCTGGACACCATTAGAATCAATTTGATCACTTTCATGTGAGATAGTATCAATTAGTTTCCCAAAATTTTCAGAGTCGGAACGAATTGCCTCAGCTTGCTCATTCTCACAAGAAAACCGAGAAGAACAAAGCGGTTTCATTGCTACGGAAGAAACAGAACTATAGAATCTGGAACCAAAAATAGAAAGGAAAAAAGAGTTAGATTAAATCAATGGCTAATGGGTATTGATTATTAAACCATGTAAAATGGAAAATTGAATACCGCATGGAGACTTTGGCGAATACCCAAAACAGAGTATTCAAAAGCTTGGAGAGCAAGATCCAAAAATACCCCGAAAAAAAATCCATTTTTGGTGAAGAAAGGCTTTCATCCTCACCGAAAAGGAAGTGGGTTTTTCACGCAAATCTCGTGGGGGAGGGATTCCATTCGACGAGGGAGTTCATTCCATTTGAAGCAAAACAGAGGAAGGGAAAACAGGGGAGGGTCATGCAAAATCTGATTTGGGGTTTGACGAAAAAGGAATGGGACTTTGCACCCGAAGGGAGAGAGATGTAGGTGCAAACACTTGGAAAGGTTTTTCACATGCGAGTGAGAGGGTGAAGTGTTACCTAATTGGTGAGATTGAGAAGATGCGGAGAGAAAAGAACATGTCAGCGACTTGTGTTTGAGCTAATCTTTCGGTTGCTTAGAACCATGGGATTCTTATGTACCGTTATGAGAGAGATAGAATCGAATTCAAGGTGTTTCTATTGTATCAGGTGCTTAGAACAAATCTTCTCTTTTATATGATTTTGTTCGGTTTGGCAGAGATAATATACTAAGGTGGATTGGGTTGGGTTAAATTGAAAGTTTACGTCTCATTCCATTGCAGCTTCCTAAGTTGAAAACCCAAACACATTTACATTTTGAAGTTTCCTATGTTTATGTGTGTTTCAACTTTCAACTTTTAGGCTGTCACTTTCACTGTGACTTTTTATTTTATTTTTTGTAACTTTTTTCAGTTTTAGCCTTTTAAAAAATACATTTATTTAATTTATACACATAGTTATTTGTAGTTTAACTTATACACATAGTTAAAGTAAGATGTTTTTATAAAGATATTTAATAAGATTTAATCACTTTATTACATTATTTTATTTATTAATATAATGTATTAATAAGAAAAAATATTATGTCCTCTAAAAAAATATACGAGTTTAATTATCACGCATTATTACTATTAGTACGAAAATTTTACACCGTTGAATAGCGGTTAGAAATTATTCTTTAAACGACATTTAATATAATTATATGTTATTCAATAATAATATTAGTGATTTTAATTAAAATTAATTATTATTAAATGTCATTAAAATTGTTCATACTGTACTTTGAATATCTTAAATGCTACGTTTACAAATACAAAATGGTTTTCAACATTTATAAGGTACTATTCAACTATTCATAATTCTAACCACTTTTTTTGTCCGTGTGAAATTGAATTGTTAATAAAAAAAGTCAACTAAGCGTGGCTGGGGAAAACCACCACATAATCGACATGGGTTTAGAATTGCCCAATTCACACTTTTCTTTATTTACCCTGCAAATTATGCAAAATTTGTAAATTATTATTATTATTATTAGAAAAAAAAATAGTTTGCCTGAAATTAAGTATAAAAACTTAATCTTGTCAGCACAAAAAGATGCAGTATATAAAATGGAATCTTAGTCTTTTATGTATCATAAATTATATGAGGATCTTTTTTTTTTTTAGGGAAAAATTATATGAGGATCTTATGTGTCACTAATCTAGTATAATTATTTTGTGTTCTTTTATTATTTTGTTAAAATATTTAATATTTGAGTATTATTATTTATTACAGAATTTATAAACAGAATCACTTAGTATAATTTATTTCTTTCTTTTACACCGTGTTTTTAATTTAAGTATTTCATTATTTTGAATTGTGATAAATTAACTTTAAACTATTGAACATAATTGAAATATGAGGGGTTATAATTATGAGTTAATCATCTATACATTGCTAATGTAAAGTTTTTTTATATTCACAACCAATTATATCTTTTATTTGTGTCATGTCACTGTAAATACATTTACTTTTAACAGTGACATGACACAATTAAAAGATATAATTGGTTGTCAGTGTAAAAAATCTTTACACTGGCAATGTATAGGTGATTAACTCTATAATCATACCTGTAACGCAGTTGGTAGACTGGAACGGGGCATTCCAAAAATTGGAACGGGCCGTTCCAAAAGACTAAAACAAGGGTGATTTAGTAGCTCAGAACGGGTCATTCCCAAATTAGAACGGGTCGTTCCATACTACTAAATAGTCCTGTAAATCCTAGTTGAGAATAGGTTGTTCCAAATATAGTTGTTGTGAGTTAAATTCAACTCTAGAACGAACTGTTCTGGTTTAAGAATGGCTCGTTCTAGACGTGCCAGAATAGGCCGTTCTGGTTTCAGAACGGGTCGTTCTGCATGTGAATTTTACATATGACGAAGGAGCCTAGAACGAGTCATTCTGGATTCGAAACGGGCCGTTTTGGTCACTCCTGACCTCTATAAATAGGCGTTGAGGAGGGGGAGAAAAGGGAAACTTAGAGAGAAGTTTTAGAGAGAAAGACTCTGGGTCCGGAAGCTTGCTTTTGGAAGATGGAGGTTCCCGGGTTGAGCTTCAGAAGGAAATTTCACTTCTTCTCAACTCTTGGCAATGCTGAGTCAATCTTTAGGTTAGGGAAGTTTCATGCACTATTTTCCTTGAAAATGGTTGAGTTATTGGGTGCGGATTGAGTTAAAAAGTTGGGTTTTGTTGTTTGAAAGAAAAGAGATAATTGATTTAAATTAGTGGTTGCATGTAGTTGTTCTTGTGTTTCAGAAGTTATTTATAACGTGGTTAAGTTGCTAAGTTGCTTGATGAAGATGAGTTGAGTAGTTGTTGACTTACGTTGTTTATATGTTGTGTATTTGGTTAAACTAAGTGGTTTTTATGTTGTTTATTGTTGAATTATTAATAAGTTGAGATGTATAAGTTGAAGTAGTTCATTGTTGTAAAGTTGATATTGTGTTGACTGTAGTTGTTTAATTAAGTAGTATAAAATTGTCTATCATTGTAAGATGCCTAATGTTGTAAAGTTGAAAGTTGTTTATCGTTGTAAGATGCCTAATGTTGTAATGTTGTAAATTGTCTATCGTTGTAAGATGCCTAATGTTGTAATGTTGTAAATTGCCTATTATTGTAAGATGTCTATAGTTGTATTGTTGTAAGTTTCCTATTGTTGTAAGATGTCTATTGTTGTATTGTTGTAAGTTGCTTATTGTTGTAAAGATGCCTATTGTTGTAAAGTTGTTATGATGCCTATAGTTGTAAAGTTGTTTATTGCTGTAAAGTTGTAAAGCTGCCTATTGTGGTAAAGTTAAAAAGTTGGGGACATATGGTGAAGATATATGTCCTATGTTGAGATACATAGTACTAAGGAGATAAGTTGAAAGTTGTTTTAAAGTTGAATCCCTTAGTACTGTGTGGGCGACATGGAAGTAGTCGATCCATGTCATGGTTGAATGACCAATTTGAGTAAGGTATCTAGTTAGAGATGTAGTCTTTGACTAGGTACTAGAGGGTGCGTGGTACTTGGAGGATAGTGGGTGTATGTGGATTGGTGATGCTAGCCAAGGCCATGGTAGGCTCATACCCAAACCCTTCTGTCCTGACAGTAGTACTGGACCTCCGAGTCTAAGGGTACACCTGAGCAATTACCTATTGTTGTCTATACCTGATTCTCTTCGGAGTTCCTAACGATGTCTTATACCTAACCTGGTTGAGATAGGTCAAATGCTGGATTTGGTAAGGTTTATGCCACCTAGACTGCTCAACCTTAGTTGTTGGAGATCTCCTAGTTGTATATGTGTGACGACGCATTACTTGATGTTGCATGGGTTGTTGTATTCAAGTTGTATATAATGTTGTATGAATGAGTTGATAGTTGAGCTATTGTGATAAATACTATGTGATTGTGTTGTGATGAGGTGTTGATCACTAGGACTAGAGGAGAAGTTTCCGAAGTTGCTCATCCCATTGTGCGGATTGAGATAGTTGTGGTGCTCTGAGAGCCCAATTTGTTTAAAAACCCTCATTGGAAAGTTATTCCTTGGAGTGGATGATGTTTTGTTCTCCTCTAGGACTTGGTCGGTCCCGTGTGTGGGTAAGGTCGAGGCACACGTGTATGAAGCGACCACGGTATAGGGGTCAGGCCGAGCTATACCGATTACAAGCGGCCAATTTGAATAAACCGCGATGTGTTGAAAATGTTGTTGCTAGTAGATGATATTGTATATCTATTGTTGTAGATGTTGTGTTGCTTTAAGTTGCAAGTTGAAAGTAGAATTCTATTGTTGTTTATTATATGTTGATGCTATTTTTTTTGTGTTTATTGTTGTGAGCTTACCCTAGCGTGTTTTCCCTATGTGGTTGGGACTGCGATGAACATACCTTGGTATGCGAGCAGATCAGGATAGGTGCTCTACTGGACTGGGTGAGCTTCGAGACTCAGGAGGAGGGCTAACGTTGTAATTAGTTGATTGGTAGCTTTTGATTACCTAATTGTTGTATAGGGTATTATTTCCCAACTTTCAGTTATATATATTATGAGACTTTTTAGTTGTGTATTCTCATTATATATATAATTGTTTAGTAGTGAGATTTTATTTTTATACTTGTATTTAGACGCTATAGACAGTGTGAGACCTGGCAGGTCGTTACAATACTAGTATAACTTTTACTAAGTATTATACCGCTCAATAACGTTATATTAATTGTGAATTTTGTAAATCTAACCGTTAGATTGAAAATTCATATCTCTTAGATCATATATACAAAATTTTATATTAATCCAAGATGATTTGATACTTCATTTTTATAAAACAAAATTGACGTAATATATTCATTACAAAATACACTAAAATATGAACACTTTGATTACTTTCAAGTTGTTGTTCAATTTTAACAAAAATTGATATACACATATAAAGTGATATGAACTTTCAATCTAACGGTTGGATTTACAAAATTCACATTTAATATAAAATTATTGAGTGGTATAATACTTAGAAAAAATTACACCGGTGTAATTATAATCCCTCTTGAAATATTGTGTGGTTAAATTAATTTTAACCATATACATACAGTCCGTACATTTCATATTGAAGCATGAAAATGATAGATGAAATTCTGATAATAAACTATAAAGACGCTCATTGAAAACGGGAGGCACATAAATGAATGTAGTTGGGTTGAACCCCACGAGCATATAAATCAAATAACGATGAAGGGGTAAAATAAAATTAACATGTAAATTGGTGAAAAGGAAAGTGTGATATAATAGTGAAGTTATTATACCTTTCTTTTTTTTCGATATTTTTTTAACTTCCATATATGGGAAGACAAATAATGAAGGTAGAGGAGAAAATTTTAGAAATTGATTTGATTGCGCTCTTTCAGAAACTCAATTCAATTACAGTAAAAAGGATATTCTCCGCTTTTTAAACGGTTAAAAAAAATAAAATAATAATAAAATCTGGAGTGATATTCTCGAATATTTAGCATGACTAAAAGGGATATTTTGTTAATATTGATGTAGATAATGTTGTTTAAATTAGAAACATAGTATTAAAAAAAATTAGTGTATACTATATGTCTTACTTGTTAATATAGACGTATAAAATAATAAAAATGGAAAAGTGTTTGAAAATAAATTTTATTGATTAAATAAAGATTCACAAATCTTCTTAAATAGAAGTATCATATAGTAACATGTCACCAAAAAGAATTAAAACAAATGTTCAATATATATAACAATTAATTA